CATTGCCCACCATGTGCCAAGTATAGAATTCTGTGAGGCAAGTGTTATTGTTCCCACCTTGAACATTAGAAAACAGAGTCACCAAGAAGACAAGAGATTTTCCTTAAATAGTTAAGTAACAAAGCCAAGATTTGGACCGAGACCTCCAAGTGCAGCACTCTTTCCATTTATCTGAGCCCACTTCTTAGAAGTGGCAAAGTGCTGATTGGGTCTTGAAGGATTGGTGGGTACTGAGAGGGAGGGTATCTCACACATAGTCACCTTTAAGGGCACTGGTAGAATATGTCACCACCAAAGTTTATCTTTCACATTTTTCTCTCTAGTAAGACATTAGAGATGACTGGGAAAGATAACATTTCACTTGATAATTCTGTTCCCTAGGGTGCCAGTTTTGGAGAATTGTGGCCAGGAGGGATTACTCTCAGGGTAGGAATTCTTAGATAACGATTTTATGACCTTCCGTCTTCAGTAGTTTCAAAAGCCCAGTTCACAAGAATCTCGTAAAATTGCATCATTTTCTCATTGTACTCCACTCTGGTCTCCTTCAGACAGTAGAAAGCATTATAGAAGAAGGGAGAACTGATGTTACAACCCCACTGCTTTATCCTTTCTGATTTTTTTGAAGTAATCTCTTGACTTCATATGTTAAGTGATCAGTTTACACTAGCAACAGTTGGCTGGCTAGTCCGGCTGAACTGTATTGTGTAACTTTCCTCCATCAGGTGTCAAATTTTGGATGCAAATACCACAAAAGATCTCTTTCTGGATCGAACTGTACAGACTGTGCTATATGTTACCACACTTTTGTTTATACGTTTGATTTTAATATTTATATTAAAAACTCAGCTTAGTATAAAGGCTGCTTATTCCATGCCTTGCTTATTCTCAGCAATTGATTGTAAAAAAAAAAATGAAAGAAAGGGCTTCTTGGATGAAGGCTTTTGGAAAGGTTAGGTTGAATTTTAGAATTCAAGAGCTGAATATATGATTGCTGGCCACAAAGAGGTAGCTGGCTTAAAGGTCATATAACGTCACAGAAAGTATGTTTGAATGACATGAGAAGTTTTAACTCCTAAGAAATTGTTGAAAGAGAAAGAAACTATTAGGGGATTCTGGTTGTTGGAACAGGAGGCTAGAGTTGTTCTCAAAATTTTAGCAGTGATGACTTTAGAAAACTAGCAAAAAGTCATTAGTAAAACAGTCAGCTTGGATAATGTAATAGCCAGTAAGGATAATGCAGGACCAAAATAATCTGATTTTATAATCTCTGGATTAAATATATATACATATATATATGTGTGTGTGTGTGTATTTCTGAACAGCTTGCCTGTTCTCTATGGAAGTTTTATCAGGAAAATGGAAGATTCTCTCTAAAAGGGAATATTTAAAACAATTTTTTAGAGAGGCATCAAGTTCTCAATTTGTCATACATTGAAATATGTAACAGTGTCCAATGACCTATTTTAATGGAAGTTTTAAGATTTTTTTCCCTGTGCTTCTTGTGTCTTCTATGACTCTACCATTTTCTTGTTTCTGCTTTTAAGGCACCACTAATGTACACTAAAAATATTTTCAAATGCCAGAAGTAAAGAAGAGAAAGAAATTGAGAGAAGAGCAGCATGACTGCAAGGGATGAGAGAAATATATGAAACAGACAAGGCAGGCACTCTGAGTACAGGAGAAACTAGTGGACTGGACGAGGTGCAGCATTGCTTTGCCAAAGCCAGAGATTGGCAACAATTTTCATCAGACAAAGGGCATCCAGAGGATGTAGACAGTTGACCCAAAATAATGTAATTAGAAATTTTAAAATAGAAACAAGTTTCCAGTACAGGAAGACATATAAATTGTGTGAATTGCTAAATTGTAATACTTAATTAGATTATCTTATCATAATTAGCATGGCTAATAAATAAGAGAGGTAACTGATATCTGGAACAAAATGGAGCATGCACATATGCCTAGAAAAGGTTTTTGTATGTGCAGTGTTTCTCCAACTTTAGTGTGGGTAAAAGTAGTTGAGATGCTTGTCAAAATGTACGTTTCAAGGCCCCAGAGATTCTGATTTAGCAGTTCTAGGGTACAGTTTCTTAACCTTGGCCCTGTTGACATTGGAGGTGGGATCATTTTCTTGTGGAGGACTGTCCTGTGCATTGTAGGGTGTTTAGCAGCAACACCAGTAGCACCTCTCCTCAGTCCTGTTTCCAGACATTGCCAAATGTCCCCTGGGGGCAAAAAAAATCACTCCCCTCCTCTGAGAATCACTTGTTTAGGGTGAAGCCTGGGAACCTTCATTTCTAATAAGAACAACCACGTTATTTTGATAAATGTGGTCCGTGGACCAAACTTGGAGAAACACTGAACTAAAGTGGTATGAGTTGAATTATGTCCCCTCCAAAATTCATGTTAAAGTCGTAGCCCTCAGTACCTCAAAATATGACCTTATTTGGAAATGGAGATTTGGTTAAGATGAGGTCATATTGGGTTAGGGTGGGCCTTGAACCCAGTACGACTGGTGTCCTTATAAAAAGGGAACATTTGGACACACAGACAGGCACATAGGGAAAATGCTATGCAAAGACTGGAGCTACAGTGCCACAAACCAAGGAACTACCAGTAGCCAGGAGAAAGGCTTGGAACAGATCCTTCTCAAGTGCCTACAGGGGAATCAGGACCCTACAGACGTCTTGATTTTAGAAGTACAAACTGTGAGACCATAAACTCCTGTTGTTTAAGCCACTCGGTTTGTGGTACTTTATTACAGCAGCCCTAGCAAACATACATAAAGAATAAAACACAAGCCAGAGTTTAGGACTGGGACAACATTTAAAGCAGGATCAGAGAGGAAAACAGGCAGATCGCAGGTTGGCATCAATCCCTAATTTATCTTTCTCAGTGCCTGACATAAAATACAAGTTGATAGTTTTTATTTTTATTAAACACTGTCCAAATATACGTTGTGTAATTAAAATATTGAGTGAAATTTATTACTTTACTGGGTTGAAATTGTCCACAATGTTCCATTGTTAAATTTTCATCTGGATTATATAGTAAGTGGAAAGATAGGCTTAAACCTGGAGTTGCCTGGAAGACAAATGGAATACATAAATTGTCATTATTCATAGAGAAGGTAATATGCAAATGTGAAATTCCATACAAGGCAAAAATGCATTGACTGATCACACTGTAGCTTTAAGAAAGTGGTGACTGTTTCAGGTCACAGAGGCACTATTTAGAGTACAGCGAGTGGGACCATGTGTCCAGCAGGTCACAAAGTCATGTGCCTACCTGAAGTGGGCAGTTCATACTCTCTCTCTGGAAAGATGAAGTCTATGGTATTAAAGGAATGTAAAAGGTATGTACTCGAATAGTTTCATTTGCAATAAAAGTGAACACTGCTGTCAATTATTATCAGAAGACAAAAACAAGAGGCCAGTGGCAAATGTCAGTCTTTTTCTCCTTAAGAAAGGTATAAGAATTATAGATATCTTAGATCCTGTTTCCTTCCACAATTGAATTGGAAACAGAACAAAACAAAAATCTCCTTGCCTCAATATTTTAGAATAAAAAGTTGTAAAGCTTCTATTGCAGATGAAGGGCCCCAACATTTTTCCTGCTCCCATAAGCATGTACGAAATAGTTAATGATAAAGAATGGTAGGGAGTGATGACAAAGAGCTCCTAGAAATATGTCTACTAATTAAGCGGAGGGATCAGATACAAACAAGGTTAGGTGTAGATGGCTTAAGCGCCCTCACCAAATCAGGATAGGCTTAACAGGACATTAACCTGGAAGCTTTTGCCAAACTCTAAACAAGTTTACCTCACAAAATCCCCTCACCTTCAATCTAGGAAGCTTTCCAGTGTGCCCTTCAGAGTCCCATGACGTTGCTGTCAGCCTGCTATACCCCACGTTCCCCCTGAACAGGTTTGTCTTCTGGGGGCAAGGTGGGTGCGTGCGTGGGGATAATTAAGGTTGCTATCTGGTCTCAAGGTTATTTTCTTTTTCCAAGAGGGCAAGTCCAGCAAAGAGCTGACTCAGTGTCGCCGACAGGAGAGCTGCACTCAGACAAAACAAATCCCGGGGACGAAAAGTAGAAGTAAACAGTTTTTCAGAGCAACACTGATAGAATATTAGGCCTTCTCTGACCTCTCCAATTGTTTTCTCTAAGTTACTGAATCCTCTCACCCCTTTTCGTCAGCGTGCCTCTGCTCTTCCTCACAATCACCACGCTTCCTCCTCGCACCACCCTCCTACAAAGGTGAGGGCAGACGGGCAGCTACAGACTCTTAGGTCCACTGCGGCCAGCTCCAGTCCTAGGGCTGTTGCCTAGATGTACATTTGACGCCGAAAAATCTAATCTCTCACGTCTAATCTGTCTGGCTATATTGTGCCTCCAGGGGATGGCAGAACAGGAGAGGGAGGCTGGAGGGAACCAGTTCCCGCCCTCAAAGGGCGAGGGCCGACTGCGCGACAAGTGGCGGGCCCCGAGCACCCACTCTTCCAAAGATCACCTTGCTTTGACCTAGTTGAGCCGCGCAGGACGGAACCAAACAGGGTGGGGG